GCAGGAGCTAAAGTGCAGTGAATTAGGAAGTGAAGAGGAGGAAGCAGAGACAGTGAAAATAAACTTGGTTATAAAGTCAAGGGGAATGTTTGTAACCCCTCACCCTCATCCCAAAACTGGTGCCTGTAGTATGTGTGGTGCTGTGACTTGACTTCAGCAGTACTCAGTTCCTGGAGTAGAGCAGCAGAGAACTTGTTTGGTTGGTTTGACTCCAAATTAGGGTTTTTCAGGGAACAGCTGTGAATGTTTTTGTCGCTCAAAGACTGACAAGATCCTTTTTGCAACTGTAGGAACATTTCCAGCAGTTCAGAGCCTGGCAGAATGATGACTGTTCGATGAAATGACTTCCGTTACTTTGATTGATTTGTAGCTGAGATGCTCACTTATTCAGCTATGTCTTTTCTGTGTTCCTACTATTTATTCATACTGTTGGATGTGATGGTTAAAACAATTTTGTTTTGAGTGAGGCTTCATATTTTCCAACTCATTTGGGCCTTCAAAACTGCTTGCTGATATTATTCCTAATCTTGCCCTTCCTTGATTCTCTGCAGCTTTTAGTCCTGTTAACCCTCTTCACATCCAGACGTCTCAGATGGTGACCTCACCTTTTGCTTCACTGAGAAACCACCCAAAATAAACTCATTTCCCTTCATACCTCCTCACATTTTCTTTCTCTTTCCACATTGCTGTGGTGTCAGTGGAGTGAGCCCTTCCACTGAAACTTTTATTATTAATTAATTTTTTTTTCCTGAGGATCTTTCCCTTTCTCTCTGATGATTTTAGCTTCTCCACCTGCTTGTCTCTTTAGCTGGCAGACATAGTTCAGTTTCTCTCCAGAACCTGCCCTCCTCAGACAGTAATCACTTTTGTTAACCTCTGGCCTGTCAAGAGGTTATTTCTGTCCATGGCGCTGAGCTGAAACAGACCCACAGCCACCATGAGCAGCAGAGGCCAATGTCCCCCAGCCAGCCTACTCTGCGCGGCCTCCTGGGAATCTGGTGTACCCTCAAACATTGCATCAGCGTCAGGCTCTGCCCTGTACCCAGAGGTCTGTTGTCCGAGCTTTGTGCACCCAGGGGCTGCCGCAGTCCCCATGGTGTCAGCTGCTTTTCCTGGCACCTCACAGTACCTTCCCATGGCGCAGTCTGTGGCTGTTGGCCTCTAGGCTCCACAGTCCTCACAGCTTAGTGTCTGGTTGGCCCCGTCTCTCCAGCTGGTTCAGTGGTGCCAGTGAAAGGAGGGAGTGATGCGGGTGCCAGATTCGGAGCTGAGGCCACTGCTGGCAGCATTCCTCCTCCACCCCCAGGATGTCCTCCCAGGGCTGCTCAGCTTGCAGTCAGGCAGGGAGCTGTTGTCCTCGTAACTCAGCAGAAGGCAGACTTCATGGGTGGTTCAGAGGGTGGCTGCACCATCTGGTGAGGAACCAAGGCCATCTCTGTCAGGAAGGACATCACATACCTTCTCACAGTGTAACTGCTTCAGTCCTGTTAACCTGCAGTTGCAGTTTAGACTGGTTTTGGGTGTCTTTCTGGTGCCCAAACTTTCAATCACTTTTAAACTTCATGAGGAACGATATATATAGTGGTAGCAGTACCTCTCTGGATTGTTTTGATGTAGGAGAGGAGTCCGCTCATGCAGTGAATGTGGGCGAAGCAGCCCTTGGAAGGAAGGGCTCCTTTCCTTTAATTCCTCTGGAGTAATACTCTACGATCCTGGTCTTTGCTTTTAGTAATAAAACATCCAGTTAGGTTTGGAGGGAACTTTGATCTTCCAGTTAAAGTTGCCAGAGTATTCTTACTGGTCTTTAATCTCTTTTAAGTCTTTGATTTATATTACTTGTTATAAATGAAAAGCATTGGTTGTCTCCCTTTTCCTTTCCAACCTTTGTCCTCTATCCAGCCCTTAACCCTAGGCTTCCATTCCTCCCACCCAGCTCCACTGAATCAGGGGTGCAGGACAGAGTGCCAGTCAGACCCACTTCCTTCCCTCCTTGCACTTCTCCCACTTGGCGTGTTGTAACTAGTCTTTTACAAGGATCCCCTGAAGCCCTCTGCCCTAAGCACAGGCCTCATTGCTTCTGCTTTGGAGCTCCCTGGGCAAAAGTGGAGACTGCCTTTGGCCCCTCCCCACAGATTGTCTCTATGTACATGAACCAAACCCAAATTTGCTCTGGTACCCAAAGAACTGAACTTTCTCAGATATCAGAGGATATCAACACAAACTGTACTGAAAACAGTTTGTTTAAAATATGAGGGGCAGCGAGGAGGATGCCTTTCAAAGCCTGATGACTTTAGAGCCAAATTAAGGGGAGTTTTCAGATCACAAATGGGTTACCATTTATTGTCAGAGTGCCTGATGTGGCCACTCATGGCTCCCAAGAATTCCTAAGCTGGGTTAATGGGGTCATATTGTGAATGCCTCACTCCAAAATGACTTGAGTCCCGTGAAATCTCATTAGGAGTAGAAATATTTTGGGATCTTTAATCTGATTTTTTGTTTTTTGAAGTTGAATTTTATTTTATTTTATAATTTCAATTTATCTAAATTTTGCGTTGTGTGTGTGTTGTGTTTGACCATTGTGGAAGTTCAGTGTTGTATATCCCCTAGCTGTACTGTGGTGCGCCTTTCTTGTGGGGTTTTATACTAAAATAAAAATAAAGACTATTTTGAAGATTTGAATAAAGTGATGATATTGCATTACAAAAGGGAAAAGAGGCATTTCCTCCACAGTTATTCCACAGTCCCCACAATCCAGCTATCACCTTAACTATCACGTCCCTGAACTACTTGCCCAGGCCACCAGTGCCCTCCTTTTTGGCAAATCCAGTGACTTCTCTACCATCAACCTACTTTCCTCTCTTCAGCACTTGGCGCTGTTGATAATACCCTCTGTCCTGAACTTTTCCTCTCCTGGTTTCTGTCACACCTCCTTCCTAGGTTCTCTTTTTCTCTCTTCACTCCTTCTCCTCTGCCGCCTTCTCTCCTGGCCCCCTGAGTGGAGGTGCTTTATGGTGTTCTGTCCTGGCTCTTTGTTTCCCCTGCTGTTGGTCTCTGGGTGAAGATACCCACCCTCGTGGTTTCATGTAACGCCTTGCTAATAAATCTAGCTCTGGTCATCTTCTTTAGTTCTAGACCAAACTAGAACTAAAACTAGACAAACTGTTCCACAGAGACCCCTTCATTGTTGTTCCCAAAGTACTACAAACTCAAATTCCAATTTCAATTAATATATTTTTCCAAGCAGGCTAACATCTGACAGTGAACCTTAACTCTCCTCTTTCCTTCACCCTGCCCCCCACCCAACCTCAGCTGTTGTCAGGTCCTGTTGACGCACCTGCCGGCGACCAGGAGCATTTCACAGGTCCAGACTCTCATTGCTGTCCCTGCTGCTGCCGCTGCCCAAGTTGACGTCTTTGTTTTCTCTCACCTGCAGCGTTACAGTGCCTCTGCCTCCATTTTCTCAGGTTTTCCAAGCCCAGCAAGTCACTCCTTTCCTTGGTTGCTCTCCAGTGTTTCCAAAGTAACATCCAGCCTCTTGGTAGTCAGGGCCCTTTGCGTCTTGTCCCAGATGACTCTTTCAACCTTGTGTCCCACAACCTCTCTAGCAGCCATTTCCTAAACCTTGATGAATTTTTGTTCTTCTGGGTGTTTACTTGTGCTGTTCCTGCTCTGACTGCCCAGCCCTCCTCCTATCCTTTTGCCTAGAAAATGCATAAGGGCCCAGTGCAAGAGTCTTCTCTAGAAATCTTCCTCTTTGAGTCTAGAGTAAATGTTTGGGAAATTATGAGGAATAGAACTTAACTACAACTGCTTTAGTAATGATTGCCACTTAGGGAGAAATAACTGTCATAGCCTCATCAATATGACCACTGAATACTAGAAGCAGATGGTTAAGAACATGAGCTTTGTTGGCCAAGTCCCAGCTCTGCCATTTACTAGCTCTGTAACTTTGGACAGATTATTTATTTACCATCTCAGCATCGAGTCTGAGGGTCAAATATGCTTGCCAGATGGGAAGTCAGCAATAAATGGTAGTTGCTGCCGCTGTAAGTGGTAAGGTTTTCATCCCTCACAACCCCTTTGTGAGATGGGTAACTACTGTTGGCATTCCTGTTTGACAGGTGATGAAACCAAGGCTTAGGGAGAACTGGGAAACTGGTACTGTCCCAGACACCTGGTCGTGGGAATTGTGGCTTATTTTTCTTTTTATTTCAGAATATGTGTATTGAATTGAAGTACAAATCTGGACCTCCAGGGTCAGACTGAGAGAGAAATAGTAGAAATTGTCACCTGCACGGGGCTGGTAATTGAAGCTGCTTTCTCTCAAGTGCTGTCATTTTTGAGAGTCCACACATTTCACCCACCCCTTCAGCAGTGAGCTGTACATTGTCTTATGACAGATGATAACCATTATCTTCAGCTGTTAACTTAAATCTTTTGTTACAATTTGCTTGTATTTGTCTTCCTTCCCCATCTGGAATGGTAAGCTCTTTGAGAGCAGAAGGCTGTTATACTACTATGTACTAACGCCTGTCCTGTCCCCTTCTGGTTCTTGTTTTTGTTCACTAAGATAACAGGTCAAGTCTGAGTAACATTTAATCTTAATCTCAAGAAGGAATTCTCAACCATTTTCTAAGTGATGACCGGTCAAGATGATTTTGTTAATCTTTACTTTCTATAACTTTGATTAAGAAAACATTACTCACATTTTCCAAATAAAATTTATTAAAACTGCACCTGTGCTGCCTGCCGCCTTTCTTACCTCCCAAGCCTCTGCACCTGTTCAGATTCTAATACCCATTTGTGCCCGAGAGTAAAAGTCTCTGACGTAGGACTCTTCCTACTCGTTTTCTCTCATTTTACAGTTGAAGAAACTGAGGGCCACATTCCAAGTTGTTCTTCCATTTGTTATCTGACAAAGTGTTCTCTAAACAGCTTGGTCAAGACTCAAGATCCTTAGGGGTATGAAAGTTTTAAATGCTCTACTTTTCTTTTGACAGAGCTGAAAAGCTTCAGCTGCTGAACCACAGGCCTGTGACTGCTGTTGAGATCCAGCTGGTGAGTGAAGGAGGCTTGAACTTGGGCAGACTGGTTTCTGGGTCTGAGATGTGGAAAGGGTCATAAAGGCTGAGCACAGACAAGCCAGGGACTGCCATGACTTGAGAAGACTGTCAGACCACGCATTTTATAAGTGAGGAGCAACCTCACCAGTTTGATCCTAGTTAGTATGAACTTAGGGAGAGGGAAAGACTGGAGAAAATTTACTTCTTTCTGTAGGGTCTGGGGCTGTGACTTACAGCTCTTTGTCTCCCTGATGTGCCCTGCCCTTCTGGCCATTGCTTCCCTGTAGAGGTTATTGCCAACCACATGTTGCATGAAAACATTAGATTCAACATGACTCTGGAGTTTGTCTCCCCCTGCCCCCACCCTCCGACCTCCTCTTCCTGTGCACTTTCCCACGTGCTCGCTGTTTCTCTCACCCTCCTGGCCCAGTCTCCCAAGCTAGAAGCCCGGAAGTCATTCCCTTCCTTCTACCTTTTGTTCAGTCAGTCTGGGTCCTTTTGCTTCTGTTTCCTATTGCTTTCTACTATCCTGACTGCACTGCGCTAATTTCTGTCATGATTTCTCAGCTCGGCAGTTGTCCTCTCACTGTTCTTCTGCCTCCAGGCCAGCCCCCTCCTGTCCATCTTCTCCACCACCATCAGAGTTCACTGTCTAAAACCACAAGTTTGTTACCTTGTCTCCCTGCATAAAACCATTGCCCAGAACCTCAACACTTGCAAAGTCTAAATCGCAGTCATAACATGAAGCTGCCTAGTAGAAGGCAGAGGTGGCATAAGGACAGAGTGAAGATGAGGTCCAGCAGTGCAAATTGAGTGGTGGCTGTGTTGGCGTTCTGCGGCCTGGGGCAGCTTCCTTCTGTTGTACAGGGCCAAGAGCATTGGTAAGCCACAGATATCAGGCAAGGCATTCAACTGCCAGTGAAAAAACTGGCTGGAGAATTAATAAAATAGAATAAAGCAGTTTCCAAAGTCAGTTTTAGAAGTATTTAGCTCTTTGTCAAATTTCCTTCAGAAAAATGTGGAATAAAATAGCCCAAAATACCTCTGGTATTTTGAGTTGCTTAAAAAATAAAGAAAACCCCTTTTTTAAGAGTCATGGGTTATTTAATTTTTGACTAAAAACTTTTATTGTCTTCCCAGCGTTTTATCTGCCCTTCAAAATGTATGCAAAATTAAATTAGAAAAATTCCTTCCATAAAGGGTGCCTGTCTGGGGGAACTGGCCTTTAGGCTAAATAGAGATCCTTTTTTTTTTGTACCCTCGTTATTCTGATGCTTTCAACTGTGTTAGAGATTCAGCTTAGAAAAGAGAAAAACAAACAAAACAGCAAGAAACTAATCCCTGTCCCTCTGGGTTAAAGATCACATGTCGTGTCTCCTCGACTTTAATCAGCAGCATATGTTATTCATGGCTTAACGACAGATGGAGAGGAGACATCAGGAGGAGGATTAGCGTGACCTCATCCCAGGGCCTGTAGAAAGCTCTCCTTACTTGGTAAGATTAGCTGCTATTAAGATTGCCTACTCTGTGCCAGACTTAGTGCCAGCGGCTTTGTGTATGTCGCCTTTAATACCCTCACCGTGGTCTTGGCTGGCAAGTGGCTGAGTGGGGCTGTCTGATTCAGAAGCCTTCCTCTGTTCCTCCAAGCCATGTGCTTTCTAGTGGTGAGAAGAAAGGTGTGTGTGGCATCCCCTCTGACTGTGTATTCTCTTCTCCTTTCCACAGGTAGGTAGGCTTTGATAAAAACTAGGTATGTTGTTCCCCAGAAGTGGGACCACTTTATAGCCAGATTTTTCCCAGCCTGAGATTTGGCTTCAAAGGGTAGCAAATCATTTATCAAGGTTTGTAGCGGTGTCCCTTCTCACCAGAGAGGGCTAAGAAGTGAGGTTTTCACTAGAGTGGAAAGTACAAAGGACTTGAGAACTTCCCCATGTTAACCTTACAGTCATTTCTTCTCCCTGGGTTCAGGAGTAATCCCAGCATCCAAGATTTATTTAGTATTCAGTTTTGGAGGCTGAAGCTGCTCTTTTTTAGTTTTACCTCAGCCGTGGTTTGCTGTGATCCTCAGATCCACAGCTGCCTGCCTGCTGTGTGTGAGGAATGGAGGAAGCCACCCAGCTCTGTGACTTCCACCATGCCCTGCTGTGCGTTCACTTGGGGCATTTGTCATCCCTCTGGCCCGAAGACAGGACGGTGAGCCTCATGGCCGCACAGGCCACTGTCTTGAACAGCAGTCCCATCTGTGCCTGTTATAATTTAGTGATTATAGAAAAGTCTTGAATTAAATAGTTTTATGGCTTACAAGACACTATAGTGTCCTTACTATATTGGTCCTTACTATAGGCATTGCTTTCGTTTTACTTTAGAGAAAGTTGAAAATTATAGAGGTTAAGTGAACTGTTCTGGGTCAAATAGCTAGAAGTGTCTGTTGCTATTACATTTTGAGTTGTTTTGAGGAAAATAAGAGGCTAGTCTTGGCAGCTTAGAATGAGAAACAGCCCGGGGGAGGGTACAGCCCAAATGGTGGCGCGCATGCTTAGCACGCACAAGGTCCTGGGTTCAATCCCCAGTACCTCCTCCAAATGTAAATAAATAAATAAACCTAATTACCTCCCCCTCATTAAAAAAAAAAAAAAGAAAGAAACAATTTCTGCAATACAGCAGCCCAATCTGACAGCCCCTGGGAACCAGTACGGTCTTCATATATGATAAAAGTGCATCGTTCAGGTTGAACCATCTGCAAATACTTTGTATGTTTACATCTCATTTGCCCTTATGTTCTGAACAGCTTGAACCCTCTGATGTCTGGGAATGTTGAATGGTGCTTTGTATTTTTTAATTTGGGTTCTGTTTCTTTGTGTTGGAAAGAAAAGGTGAGGAGTAATGTAGTTATTTTTCACTCTAGTGATCCAAGAGGGGTTAGTAAGTTTTTGGTTTCTGCAAGTTTCTTTCTTGTGTATATCTCATTTTGTTTAATGCAGCTTGGATTTTCTTTCTGTGACTAGGAATCTTGGGTTGAAAAGAACATTTCCTAACTATAATTGTCCCTGAGGATTGTGTGCTGTTATAGCTCCTGCTCTTGGCAAATTTGGGAAAATTAGTAAAGCATATTAGCCCTGTTGCCAAGATCATACCTACCTGAAACCTGATCTGCCAAACCCAGAGGTTAGGGTGCAAGACAGTGGCCTGTTGAAGTTCTCTCTGTTTGGTTTTCTAAAAGATAAGGCCCCTCTGAGGTCATATAACCAAACTCTTTCAAGTCTGTGGTACAGTTTCTCTGAGCAAACTCTTTCAAGTCTGTGGTACAGTTTCTCTGAGAGAGGAAATGATGGAAACCTACTGGAGGCCGTGGTGTTCTAGAAAAAGCTGGGATTCGAAGTCAGAAGACCTTGCTCTACTTCCTGTGAGACCCAGATCACGTTTTTCCTTACAGTGCTGAGCCTCCATGTTTTCATCTGTAAACTGTCCTGACTTTAGGTACAGCATCCTTGAGAAGCTCTGGGGGCAGTGATTCCAGGAAAACCCCTCATAAACTGTGGAACACTTTGCAGATACTGGTGGGAGGTTGTCACTGTTCTAACGATAGTCTCGGTCCCCTTCACCCTCTTCCCCTGAGGCAGGAACAGTTCATCATCAACTGTGTGTGCCAGTCATTCATGAACTTGGAGACATTCTTCTCTCAAATGGAGATCATTTTTTCCTCAAGATGAAATAATCAAGTCAGATATCTCTCTCCTTCCTCCTTCATTCTTTAGAGGCAGTGTATGTTAGATTATTTCCTACGGACCCTCATTTTACATGTCTAATTTTAAAAGTTGGTTCTTGAGGATTGTTTCTTGTTAAGTAGAGGAGTTACTTGGAGCCTTTGAATCTTTAGAATATGGTGGTTTTATTTCACAACATGACGGGAAGCCGCCCCATTGGTTCACTTTGGATCTTTTCTACTCTGGAACACCCAGGATTGTTTTCTAGTTGTAGAAACATTTTTGGACTGAGATGAATGAAGAGACCGGTGTTTTGCCAGGAGTTTGATCTTGGGCCTGTCATCTGGCTTCTTTAGCTTCTGTACTGTTGTTTGTAAAGTGAGGCAGTCAGACTGAAGTTCCTAAGTCTAGCTTGTCATCTTGCTTTACTCAAATTTGCCAGGATTTCTTTCTGGAACTCCTTCTGGTCTTAGTTGCCAGATTTCAGAGATTGTTGTGGAAAATGCCATAGAATAGGACCCCTGGACACCTTTAGCTGAGACAGCTGTTTTTGATAGATGGCTGATGCCACCAAGTAAGCGTAGTTAAGTGATTTGACTGCCTGCATACTGCTTTTACAAAGGTGGTTGATAACATTATGTTTGTATTTATTAACATACTGAGAATTAAAGGTGAGGCTAAGAAAACTGGCCTATGATTGTGGATATCATCTGTGTGTTCAGATGTCCAGGACCATGTCAGAAACTGGGCTCTAAGTGGACCTTTGATGGGGCAGTGGGAGATTGTTTCTCAGCCATCACTCATCAGACTCCTGTTCTGCATTCCCAGGAGATGACCAAGGCCACATGGTGTGTTAGATTGTAGGTGTTAGAAAGGGGCAGGCTGGGCTTGGGGGTCTAGTTCTGCCCTCTGCCAGGCTTGTCCTGAGGGTTAAGAGAGATAATGGGTATGAAGTGCAAGGTGCAGCACCAGGCACAGGAGCTCCCTAAAGGGCTATCGTTAGTGGTGGTGGTAGTGACGGTTAGAGAAAATATGTGAGCCATTGGGCACATAGTGGGCAGTCATCAGATGAGTTGTGGATACAGTTCATAAGTTACAGATGTGCTTGTTGCGAGATGCAGAAGTTTATAAAATGCTGTTTCACTCCCCAGAGGTGAGTTTCCTTTGCGTCTACAGCATGTTCCTGTGTGTATGTGGATGAGTATAGAACTGTTAGGATTTGCTTTCTCTTTAAGAGAAAATGCTAACCTGCAGCTCGCTTTTCTCACTGACCCGTTTGGAGCAGTCCCAGTGGCTTACCCTGGAATTTGAGCTGGCTTCTCCCTCCCGTGGAGCCAGGACGGAGAGGACCTGGAGACCTAGGGTGGCTCAGGAGCCAGGCCCCAAGCTCTGTGCTGAGGAGCTGGGCTGGGACCAGGAACAACATGGGCAAGGAGTTGGGGGGTGGACGCAGCCTGTGAGGCTCCTTTGTAACTCCTGGAGGGTTTTCCTTCCTTCTGCAGATGGTGGAGGAGAGTGAAGAACGGCTGACAGAGGAGCAGATCGAAGCTCTGCTCCAGACCGTCACAAGCATTCTCCCTGCAGGCCCAGAGGCAGAGCAGAAGAAAAACACCAACAATGATGTGACAATGGATGAAGAGGACCCAGCGTAGAAGAGCACAGCTGGCCCAAGTGTCCCGTGAAGTTGAAAGGCCCACCAGCTGTTTCCCAGATGTTCAGAGGATTGTTTATTTGGTTTTACCTTCAACAGGCCTGATTTCTTGGTTAGTTGGGTAAACCACAGAAATAAGCCCTTCTCAGAAATAAGCTAAAAAGAAATCCTTGTGCCTCTGGGAGAAGGATCATGTGGAAGACAGGCTGAGATTGTCAGGGCAGAAAGCTTAAGAGAGGAGGACAGCATTGAAAAGGACAATGACTGTGGAACCCTCTGTGGTAAAAGCATTTCTTCTGTGGCCTTTGCTACAGTTGTGGGAAGGTCCCTGCACACAGCTGCTAAAATACTTGTGTTGCTTTTGATGGGCTGCATCCTAATTAGTTTCATCTGCTTCCCCAGGAACTTCCCAAGCAGGGGGAAGAGCCCTGCTGGGATGAGAACTGAGTTATGAGAATCCAGCTAGATGGCTAAAAACTCCCAAAGCCGCAAATTGTTGCTCTAAGTTAAAATGAGACACTGAACTTGGCTCACCTTAGAGGACTTTTTTCCTTGAAAACAGCAGAGATAAGAAAAGAACGACCTGGCCGGCCCTTCATTGGGTCTAAAGGCTCCTTTCCTCTGCTGGCATGAGCTTTGTTTATCGGCTCGCTAGTTAGTCTTTAAAGTTAGGGCACCAGCTCACTTCAGTTGAAAAGAGGCGCTCCAGACTGGCAGTGGCAGCAGAAATACAGCATCGCCTGCCTTTCTGATCACCTTCAGTTTCCTGCCCCGTGACAAGTGCTGCCCCCCTTGAGGCCAGGTGAGCTTTATTTGCACAACAGGCAAATTGTTTGCATTTTTAAAAAGGGCACAATTATGTAGCTCTTTTCATGGACAGAATATGAAGAACTCTCGAGGTTAATAAGAATTTTGAACTTGTTGGCTGTTGCAAGGTTGCATTAGTTTTTTTGAATTTAACATGGTAGAATAATTACCACGTGAAGAACTTATTAATATTCAGGCTTTGGAGAGTTTAATAGCCCCAGACATGTGGTTGCCTTAGGTCCTAGGAATATTGTTAAAAATTAATTTTCCCCATTCACTTTGTTCCCTGTTTGGGGAAGAAAATGCCCACAGACATTAATTTTTCAAATTGGTATTCATTTTGTTGTAAGATTACATATTTTCAGTGCTCTGTTAATTGGATTACTTCCCACCCCCTGCAACTCGCCGGTTATTTGAGCCTCCCCACCACCCCAGTCAGTCGCAGTTATGTTAAGGATCAGTTGATCTGCTTAGGCAACATTCACATTAACAGGGCATTTATTTTGAAATCGCTCTTGAGTATTGGGAATTTTACCAGGAGCTGTTGGTTTGTCAAAGCATACATGTGCTTATGACATTGTTGTTTCATTTTGACCTTGAGTGTGTTAGGTACTTTTTCTTGGTGGATTTATGGCTAAATTAGTTAATAATAAATTGTTCTCAGGTGACTGCCAACTTGTGATATTTTTATAAATCTTTGAAGAGTTTGTTTTGCTATGGGTAGAAAGAAATAAAATGAAATCTGACTTACAAGCTTACATATAAATACACATGTGTGTGTGTATATATATGTAAATTTAAATTTATGTACATACATACATACATGTTTGTTTTTTTTTCCCTTAAGTTGTATTTGTTTAGATCTGAATTCTGTGTTGGATTTCAAGAAAATTTTAAATTTCTATATTTGGTACCTGAATTTAGCCTCAGTTTCTGATTAAGCCAGGCAGGCTCTGGAAGACTTAACCTTTATAAGAAACATAGTTTGTGTAATATTCCTGTCACATTAATAATCAACATGTCAGAAGGAAAAAGTTGTAATTTACATAAGAAACGTAACCAAGATCACATTTAGGGAGGAGAGCTGGGGAGTCTAAGAGACTTGCTTTTCATTTTATATCCTTCTATGTAGTTTCAGTTTTTGACTAGGTGACTCTTTTATTCTTTAAAAAGAAAAGTATGTTTATTTGCAGTTAAATCATGTCCCAAACATGGAGGCTGACACCCAGTCCAGTCACTCTGGGAGAAGCAGCACTGGGGGAAGCCAATCTGTCACAAGGTACTACTGAGCTCTTGAAAAATGAAGTTGACTTCCAGTTAGAGGTTTACCCAAATAATTTACTTGCCTCTTTTTGCTTAAAAGTTACTGTATGACCCACTCCCACCTCAGAGGATTTCCTATTTATTCAAGGCTGATTTATAAAATAATGTGTACTGTTTCCCTAATCAGTCATTGTGTAACCATACCAGCTCTTCAGAGCTTATACCGTAGTGAGAGGTGAGTGAATTAATCCTCTAGTATATTCTTTGTTAAGTCATTTCCCGCCCAAAACCAATTTATTACCATTATGTAAATGGATCATTTCTCAGTAAACTGTAAAACAAATCATATACCATGAAAAGCATCGTCAACCTTATTTAATTACATAATGAACAAAGGGAATAAAAGGAAGCAAAGCTGCCCAGAAATCCTTTTACATATTTAAAAAAGTAAGATAATTCACATACCACATGCCATTTGGTGGCTCTGAGTATAATCACAAGATTGTACAATTATCACTAGTACCTAATTCTGGAATGGTTTCATCATCCCTAATAGAAGCTCCATATCTTATAGCAGTCCCTCTCCATCACCATTTTCCCATGGTCCCTGGCAACCACTGATCTGCTTTCTACTTTTCTCTGTATTTACCCATTCTGGACATTTCATATAAATTAATTCATACAGCGTATGGCCTTTTGTAACCTGACTTCTTTCACTTAGCATATTTTCAAGGTGCAAATATGTTGTACCATTCCTTTTTATGGCTGAATAATATGTCATTGAATGGCTGTACTACATTTTGTTTATCCATTCATCAGTTGGTGGACATTTGCGTTGGGTCTTCTCTTTGGCTGTTACAAATATGCTTCTGTGAACATTCATGTATAAATTTTTTGTGACTGTTTTCCTTTCTTGCATATACCTAGGAGTGGAATTCTTGGGTCATATGGTAACTCTGTGTTTAACTTTTTGATGAACTACTGAACGATTTTCCATAGTATCCGTACCATTTCATGTTTCCACCCACAGTGTAAGATGGAATCCAGTCCCTCACTTGCTGTTGTCTCTCTTACTGATTATAGCCATCCTGGTGGTTGTGAAGTGCTATCTTACCGTGGTTCTGATTTTTATTTCCCTAATAGCTATTGATGTGGAACATCTTTTCATGTTCTTTTCATGTTCTCATTTGTACATCTTCTTTGGGAAAATGTCTTATTAAAATCCTTTGCACTTAAAAAAATTAATAGCCTTTGTTTTTTCAAGGAATTTTAGGTTTACAGAGAAACTGAGCGGGAAGTACAGAGTTCCTCCGTAGTCCTTAGCCCCCCCACAACAGTTTCCCCGTGTTCACATCTCTTGCATCAGTGTGGTACATTGTTACAGCTGATGAACCAGTATTGATACTTAAAGTCCATAATTTACATTAGGTTCATTCTTTGTGTTGTACATTAGAAAGTACAGTAATACACAGAATGGATTTTGACAAGTACATAATATTATATACATGATGTTATATATAACACCATTACAGTATCAGAATATTTTCAATACCCTAAAAATACCTTGTGCTCTACCTACTCATATCTCCTTCCCTTCTTCTGCATCTGTGGCAACCACTGATCTTTTCACTGCCTCCATACTTTTGCCTTTTTCAAGAATGTCTTATACTCTGAAGAGTAACTCAAAGTCATATGAAGATATAAGGATCTCCAATAAAGGCAAATAAACATGGATGAATAAAAACGTATTATTATAATTTTGTTTCATAACTTCATTTTTTATTCTTTTACAAGCTTTAAAAGAGAAAAGCATAAAAAAATATAAATCTATGTTAAATAGTACCCATTATATAAATTTGTGACATCAGTAGCATAAAGGAGGGGGGCAGAGCTGCACAAGAGTGTTTTTATATGTGATTTAAGTTTGTATGAATAAATAATAGATTATTACAACTTTAGTATGTTACATATAATCCCCAAGATAACCACAAAGAAAATATCTAGAATATACACAAAAGGAAATGAGAGAATTAAAACATGTCACAATAAAAAAAATCAACTAAACAAAAAGATAGTAATGGAAGAAATGAGAGACAAAAAAAGTATTAAA